AGAAATCACTAAACAGAATGAAGTACATATGTAGTTAGGGCTCCAAATGGGTAGACACACAGGCTAAATTGTATCCTCAGATCATCTTTCAAGTCCTAAACACCAGTACCTCAGAATTTAACATATCTGGAGTTAAGACCTCCAAAAGAAGTAATTAAGGTAAAATGAAGTCATATTGATAGTCTAATCCACACAAGCCTCTGTCAAATGACTGTAAGATTAGAACACAGGGAGGCAGAGGAAAACCAATCCAAGGACCCTCAGAATGCTGAAGAATTATCAGAACATACTCTAGCTGCTGAAGCCACCCACAGTGTGATGCTGTTATAGAAGCTGGGAAGAGGGAGGCCATGTCCCAGCCACCCAATTCACAGACACCCTTAACTGTGACTTAGACAAAACAAGTCCTGCAATAGGGGACAGGGTTTGGGATAGGTGATGATTGTGCTTTAAATAGTGCAATAACAAAATTGAAAAGCCATCACAATACCTATTAGAAGAACTGATGGGACACCATATTTGCAATTAGGAAAGAAATTAAGGGTTCAAGTCATGTCCACTTTGGGAAAAGCCAAGAACAGGAGAACCTAGCCAAGACATGTTTTATGACTGAAATGAAGTTAGCCGAAAGGCAAGTGAACAATTCAAAAACACATGGTTAGCATGGAAGAGGGGATGAGGCAATTCTGGACCATTCTCTAAGATTACAGACAGATACATGTATTTTATTTTATTTCCTTTTGGGGGGGGTGTTAGTTTTTGGTTTTGTTTTTCCATTTCTCTCTATAGTCCTGGCTGTTCTAGAACTCACTCTGTAGATCTGGCTGGTCTCAAACTCACAGAGATCTGCCTGCCTCTGCCTCCCAAGTGCTAGGATTAAAGGTTATGCCAACACCTGACTCTGTATTTTCTTTTAATGTTTAAGCTAACAAAAGAATCCTTGATGATACCAGGCAGTGGTGGCATACACTTTTAGTTCCAGCACTCGGGAGGCAGAGGCAGAAGGATTTCTGTGAGTTCGAGGCCAGCCTGGTCTACAGAGTGAGTTCCAGGACAGGCTCCAAAGCTACATAGAGAAACCTTGTCTCAAACAACAACAAAAATATTTTCAGGCATCAAGTGAAAGACATTTGCATTGGTTTTGGTGGCGCTCTGGTTCTCTGTAAATTTCTTCTTGTCCTTCCTTTGCCTTCCAACAGTAGCATTGCTTTTCATCCTGTATTTAGAGCCACAGGATTCCAGAGGAGAGTAAGGAAGAGAGGAAAGCTAGTCTCTAACTTGGAGTTCTAAGGCAAAGTTCAGACAATTCAGAAGTGAAAACAACTAGATTATGTAAACAGCAGTTTGTGATAAGATTTATGCATTTTTTAGACGTTTTCCAGCTGGGTGTGATGGCACACAAAACTTTAATCCCAGCACTTAGGAGGCAGAGGCAGGCAGATCTCTGTGAGTTCGACAAAGCCAGCCTGGTCTACAGAGTGCCTGAACAGCTAAGGCTACACAGAGAAACCCTGTCTCAAAAAGACAAAAGAAAAAAAGAAGAGACAGAAGAAGTTTCTCAAATACTTTTAAGTTTTTTAAAGTTCTATTTCACATAAAGATGCATTCTCGTTTTGAATCACATGTTACTTCCTTCTAGGTATAAAAATATGACTGATGCCCTACAATTCACCCCCTTGCTCTCTACATGATTTGCAAGTGTGATAACACTTTTCTGAAATACATCTCTGTCACTAAGGCTACCATCATCACCAGTGTGAAATAGTGAAGGATCTTCCCAACTGCTTCAAGTGTAAGACTTTGCAAAACAAATGAATATTGCTGGGAAATTTGCCTTTCTCCAGAAAAGCCTATTAAAATGTTGGCCCAGGATACAAAATAAGATCCCCAAATTTGCATTCTCAGTACTTTTGCTTTCTTGACCTTTATTTAAATTTGAGAATAAGCTTCACTAAACAACAGAATTTACACAGTCACTAGCCAACCACAGTCCTCATTATGTAATCTATGCAATGCATTTGTTTCCTAGGAAACCGACCAGATCACAGACAAAGTGCAATTTCAGACTAGCAAAAGAATTCTCCAATCGTGGTGGTAAGTAAAGTCCATACATAAATCAGCTGATCAGAAAGAAGCAAACCCAAGAAGTGTCAGAAAAGAGCTAAGCTCTATGGAAACTTTCTTAAAGGGAGAACGAAAAAGAAAGTAAACCTGTGGGGCGCCTTTGGGTAGCTATGTAGATCCCTGAAGTAAATATTATGAGCAGGTTTCTTTATAAACACAAACTGTCATAAAATAAACTGTTCAAAATAAATGGCTTCTCTCCAATCTTCAGCTTCTCTGTCTCTGACAGCATTTAAGAGGGAAAGCTTCCTCAGAGCCAGGCTCGTACATCTGGTACAGGGTATTACTCCAAGAATAAGTTCTCCCTTTCAGCAAGAAGCATGGGTGCCCTTGGTGCGATAAAACAAATCCTGCAAGGAGCAGTTTCTGTCACACTCCTCATTCACACTTGCTTCCCCACCAGACCACAAAGAACTGCAAAAGTCACAGGCATACTTCATTAGGCCAGTATTGAGCATGGGAAAGTAATGGAAGCCTTTAAAGTCTCCCAGGTTTAATTGTGGACAGCTTAGTGTTGCTTAGGAAAACAAAGTACAGCTAAATGTCAGCTTCATGTTTAAAGGCCAATTTACACAAATTCACATTTTCTGCAAGGAATATTTCTTGTAAGGTTTTTAAAAATAAAAGAAGCATCAAGTCAAAAAATTAATTTATTCACCCTCTTAAAATGAGTTAAAAAAAATACATAAGCCTCTCTGAAATGCTTCTGATTATACCATTATTAGTTATACAGAAAAAAAAATAGTTACATTTACACACCAGTCAAATGAAAAGGCAAGGTATTATCTCTCAGCCAGCGCAGATAAAGACACTATAGTGCTGATCCAAGAAAACCAGCAGGCACAACTATTACTTTGCCAAAGCATTCCCAACACAGATGCACTGTTGATTTTTTTCCCATTTACACAGAGATGCTTTGTTAAGTCTTATCACTACCACTGACAATCTAATAAATACACAAGCAATTCAGTTTGTTAGCCTGGTTTTTTTGTTTTTTTGTTTTTGTTTTTGTTTTTTGTTTTTTTAGCATTTCTACCAATGACAAAGAGCTGCAACTATGGTGGTGTTCTAGAACTCCCTGTTCGTGACTACAACAGACCTAATTCAAGACTCCTCTTTAAGCTCTTCATAAGGGAAAGAGGATGGACCAAAGCCACACACTATGTTCTATGCCTCTGTATAGTTTAAATTCATTTACCTAATCTAGACCGGAAATAACAGCAGGACATAACAAAACCTGATCAACTCTGGTAGATGAAGCTGCTTCTAGACATGCAGTATGCATAAATGTATAGTTCAATAATATAGAAATTCAGTATGGAACATCGTCAATCTAATGTAACTGGGGCAAGAATCTAGGGTAAATTTTTCTCCCACAAAAATCACTATTTTAAGCATATTAAACTATTTATGATAAAAAATAGTGTACTTAAAAAAAGAGCATTGAACTGTATTTTTTCTTGAATTTTTAATAACTTAATGGAACTTTAAGTAGTTTCCCCACCATAATAATTTTTGTCCTTCTAATTTAGTTTTAAGGAAACTTCCACTTTCTCCAAATGGTTATACTTAGCATTTTGTACTCCTCAAAACTACTAAAAATTAAAAAAAAAAAAAAAGACTCCCAGGTAACAGACTTATGTAGGTCAATATGAAGTCTTACACAGTAAACAAAAAATTTTCTAAGAGAGTGAGGAATAAACAGATTAACATAAGAACATAACCCCATACCTGCATAGAAAACAAAACATTAGTCTGTGAAAGGCATTTCATGAATGCCCACTGGACTTCATTATTTGACTACCTATGAACACATAGCAACTGTTCACAAAGTTAGCAAGCTAATCAAATATGAAAAATCAGAACTACTACCTTACACCTTTCAAAACACCATAACCAACATATACAACAGCCTAGTCCTTGGTTTGTATGCATGGAATACATACATGTATCATATAAAGAAATACAGGTGAGAAAAATCGCTTCTAATATCACATTCTCCTTATATGCTATGAAAAGTACCTATCTTAAAACGTAAAACAAAGGTTTTTAGCCCGCATAAAGACTCTCTAATGCAAGCGCTACCATAAAAGCTGTCATTATCTGACACTCCAGTTAACTATCTTATAGGTAGACTATATACTACCAGTGCTAATATTCAATGATCACTGGGATGGGCGGGGGGACTTTGCTCCAAAACTTCAAAACAAATACAATTGTTTAAAAAAGAAAAAAATCAGTCATGTTCGATTTCCCCTCATTTAAACCACTACCTGACCTTTAGGTATTAAAATTAAAGAATTAAAGATAGCTGTAAGAAAACCACAAACATTTTTTTGTTTGTTTGTTTGTTTTGATCTGGTCAACCCAGCCTCCTCTCCCCAGGACACTTGCTAGTTTTCTTGATCTATTTGATAACAAATACAAATCACTGTGCGCAGCCTCAGATCGCGGGGGGAGCCTTTCGGAGAAAGCCCTTCTCCGTTAGAAACAATAAATAAGGGAGCGGAGCGCTGCACGTTCCTTCACACACCCCACACGCACCTCCCGGTGCCTCCCGACAACCAAGCTAGCCGGGCAGAGCCCCGAAGCGCCTCAGACTCTGCTACTAGCAGGGCAAACCGTCCCTCCTCCTTCCCACCCTCCCGCCCGGCTCGAGGACGCTCGCTCAGGGACAGCCCCCCTCAGAGACGCCGCGGGCCGCGAACCCGCAGGCGCCCGGCTCTGCGCCCGCAGACCCCTCCGCCCCTAGCGCCCTCCCGCCTCGCTGGCCCCGGCAGACAAAAGGAGGGTTCGGCGGGTCACGGCGCGGGCGCCCACGCACAAAGAGGCCCCGCGCCCGCTTGCTCGCCGGCCCCGCGAGGGCTCTCACCCACCTGCAGGTGTCTGTGCGTCTGTCCATAGGAACGCGGGCGATGGGGCCTGCGGGAGCCGGGCGGCCCGGGCTGGACGGGGCGGGACGGCGGAGCGGAGGAGGACGACAGCACCCACCGCCGGAGGCCCGGGCACTGGAGCCGGTGCAGCGGGAAGGGCACCCCGCGGGCTGCGCGGCGGGTGACGGCGGTGGTGCGGTGGGGGGCACGGGCGGCAGCCTGGCTCGGCCACCGGCGCGCACCGCTCCGTGCGCCCCGGGCTCCGCGAGCCCGGCTTGGAGCGCGGGGGCGGGGCCGCGCGGGGCGGGGCCGAGAGGGGCGGGGCGGGGGCTCGGACCCGGGCTCCAGCCGGCACCGGAAGCGCTCGGCGGGCGCCCGGACCTACAGGAAGTGTGTAGCGACGCCCGCGGAAGGCGCCCGACCCGCGGCGCTCGCTGCCCTAAGGTGGCGAGGGCCAAGCTCCTGCCACCGGCACGCACAGCACTGAGCCCGCCGAGCTCGGTTCCCGCCGCTCCAGTAGGTACGGGACCCGCGGTCTCTGCCACTTTCTACGCAGGTCGGTTGTCCCCGTCTCCTCGCACTTCATCCTAAACACTGACAGTAAGCAGATGTGTGCCAGGTGGCCTGCGACGCACAGAGTACTCACCCCATGGTGTCCTAACACTCCACAGCATCACACACACCTGTAAACGGGACTTCTTAGGATAAAAAAGGATGTTACACGGTGTTAAAGATTCTACAAGGCTAAATAATTTAACTTCGAGATTATGAACCGTTAAAATATTGCAGACCGGAGCCAAGTTATCTTGGAGTTTTTTAGTTCCTTTGGAACATACAATACCCTCGTGCCTAACAAAAACCTTTCAAATGCATTCTTAACAGAAGCTGCAGAGACAGCTCTGTGGTTTAGAGCACTGGCTGCTCTTCCAGAAAGAACACCCAGGTTTGATTCCCAACATCCACACGGTGGCTCACAGCAGCCTGTAACCCCAGTTCCTGGGACTCGGGTGCCTTTTCTAGCCCCTGCAGAGGCTGACACAAATGGTGCACACGCGCGTACCTGCAAGCAAAAGCTACAAGTGTCAGCATCAGAAACCTGTAAGTCTGGCCCACTTTGCTATAACCTATCTACCTGTAGTCCGTGCCATTTGATAAGTGCCTTGACTTTGTGAGTTTCTTTGTTTTACAAGTAATAAAAAAAAAAAAAATCTCGTGTGTAACTACTTCCACAGTGAAGCGTGTCTTTGGGGGCGATCTGAATCCATGTTGCTGGGCCATCATCACTCATTTGGTTCAAGAACAGACTATCTCTGAGCTAAGAGCTATATTTTTTTTTCCATCTACACACTCATCCTACCTAAGGAGTACGTAAAATTCTCAGGCTGGTGGTCTGGTACACGGAGACAGGAGATAACTTACACAACATGGCAAGGCTGCATGTTTAAGAAACACTTTCTTGGCACTTACAGGGAGCTCAGGTTTGTGCCAAGCACTCGGTGGGCTGTTAATTCTACAAAGCTGATGCTACTAACATTACTATATTATGGAAAATTTGTTAAAATGTTTGTTTTTACATATATGGGTGTTTTGCCCACGTGTATGTCTCTGTACCACCTGTGTGCCTGGTGCCCTTGGAAGCCAATAGAAGGTGTCAAATGCCCTGGGACTGGAGTTAAACATGTTTATGACCTTCCACATGGGTGTTGAGAAATCAAACCCAGGTCCTCCGGAAGAGCAGCTAGTGATCCTAACTACTGAGCCATTTCTCCAGCCCCACATTTTCCAGGTACATACTGAGTAGTGATATTGCAGTTCATTGGGTGATTATAGTTTTAGTTTTCAGAAACTGAAGCTCACAGAAACTAAGAAATCTTAAGTACCTAGTTTCTTGTTGGAGCTCAGATTCATTCAAAGCAGGGAGTCCATGTTCTTAACTCCTTTTGCTTCTCACAACACTGAGCAGTTTCCAGAACATTTATAATGCTAATAAGTTATATTTAGTACATAACATGATTACCCTTAGATACTACCCACACCTTGACCTCACACTTCCTATGATAGGAAATCTCAGTCACTGTTACCTCTGAGGTAAATGAGAGAAGAGAATATGACAGCAATTGAAGACAAAGGATCCAGGGTCATCCCAGACCTGTCAGGTAACTTAAACATTGTCACATCAGTCCGGTCTCTCCTACATGGCAGTCCCTTGCAATCTTGAGTAGTTTAAGGCTGATACTCTTTAAAAAAAAAAAATTTATGTGTATTTTGCCTGTATGTATCCCTGTGTACCATATGCCAGATGGCCCACCAAGGTCAGAAAAGGACATTAGAACTGGAGTCAGAGAGTTTGTGAGCTGCCATCAAACCTGGCTCCTCTGGAAGAGCAGCAAGTGCTCTTAACAGCTGAGCCAACTCTCCAGTCCCTCAGGTTGATAGCCTTAACCCTATCATTACCAACACTGGTCTGAGCTAAATCAATAACATTTTGTGAATGCTTTGAGTCAGTGAAATCAACTCAAAGCAAAACAAAACTTACATAGTTGTTGCAGAATAATTTTTTTCTTATTTTACATATCACTTCCAGTTTCCTCTCTCTCCCATCCTCCCATGTCTCAACTAAGAAAGAGAACTACAGACCAATATCCCTAATGAACATTGATGCAAAAATACTCAATAAAATACTGACAAATCAAATCCAAGAACACATCAGAGAAATTATCTACCATGACCAAGTAGGTTTCATCCCAGGGATGCAGGGATGGTTCAACATATGAAAATCTAGCAATGTAATCCTCCACATAAACAAACTGAAAAAGAAAAATCATATGATCATCTCACTATATGCTGAAACAGCCTTCTACAAAATCCAACACCCCTTCATGATAAAGGTCTTGGAGAGATCAGGGATAACAGGAATGTACCTAACCATAATAAAAGCAATATACAGTAAACCAACAGCCAACATCAAACTAAATGGAGAGAAACTCCTCTAAAATTAGGAACAAGACAAAGCTGTCCACCCTCTCCATATCTCTTCAATATTGTATTTGAAGTTCTAGCTAGAGCTATAAGACAACAAAGGGAGATCAAGGGGATACAAATAGGAAAGGAAGAAGTTGAACTTTCACTGTTTGCACATGATATGATAGTTTACATAAATGACCCGATAAACTCTTCCAGGGAACTCCTACAGCTGATAAACACCTTTAGCAAAGTGGCCGGATACATGATTAACTAAAAAAACTTCAGTAGCCCTACTATACATAGAAGATAAAGGGGCTGATAAAGAAATCAGAGAAACATCACCCTTTTCAATAGCCACAGAATAATCTTTTTTGTATACCAAAGATTTGTCACTCGGTGGGGGAAAAACATTAAATGCCCAATAGCTAGGCAGAATTTTCACATCAGAGAGGATGCCAGGAAGAAGTTTGGAGACTTGGAGTCACCAGCCAGATAGAGAGGAAGCAGCATTGGCAGAATAGAGTGAAGGTAATAAAGCCATGAGACAAAAAGTGGATTGATAAAAATGGATTAAGTTATAAGAGCTAGTTGGGAACAAGCATAAACTATAAGCCAAGCATTAATAAGAAATCTCCATGAGGTTATTTGGGAACGAGCGGGTGAGACAAAAAATAAAAATCAGCCTACAAAAAAAGGCATTAAATGCAAAATCTTATAATGGCCCCTCAAGCTGGTGAAGGTGCTTGCCTACAACCTGATACAAATGATGGAGAAAGGGACCCAGTTCTGCATGTTGTCCTCTGACCCTCATGCCCACTCACACACACACAAAATACATATTAAAATGTAAATCTCAGGGCTAGAGAGGGTGTCACGTTGAGGAATTCTTCCTACTCTTCCAGAAGACCCAAGTTCAGCTCCTAGCACCTGTAACTCTAACTCCAAGGGAACCAACACACTTTTCTGGACTCCATAGGAACCTAAATATATCAAAACATACATATACAGATGCACAAACATAAATAAGAAATAAAAATCCTTAATAAAAATAATAAATCTCATACTATTTTAAGTAAGTTTGCCATTTTGTTGGGCTGCAATCACAGCTATCACAGATTAGATAACTGCCGGCTGTGGCATGAAGATTTAACTATAACTAGGTGGTGCACGTTTAATTCCAGCACTTGGGAGGTAGAGGCAGGAAAAGTTATGTGAGTTCAAGGCCAGCCTGGTCTACTGAGTGATTTCCAGTACAGCCAGGGTTACACAGAGAAACCTTGTCTCAAAATAAATAAATAATTTTAAAAATTAAATATAAGCTGGGCGTTGGTGGTGCATGGCTTTAATCCTAGCACTCCGGAAGCAGAGGCAGGCAGGTAGGTCTCTGTGAGTTTAAGGCCAGCCTAGTCTACAGAGTGAGTTCCAGGACAGGTTCTAAAACAATACAGAGGAACCTTGTCTTGAAAAAACAAACAAACAAACAAAAATTAAATATAGTTAATATCACCAATATATACTAAAAGTAATTAGGAGACTAAATGTTATATTATTCTACTTTTGCCACAATTAACCATATGGTTTTTGCTATAAAAGCAGCCATTCTATATGCCTGTTTGCAACAGAGAACTTGTGGATTCCTTACCTGCAAAACAATGGGCAAGAAGCCAAGCAATGAAGCAGAAAGAAACTGCTATAGAAAACATTCTAAAAGATATCTTCAGCTGTCTCGTGGTACTTGTGCTGGATAGTTTTATGTCAACTTGACATAAGCTGGGATCATCTAAGAGGAGAGCTTCTCAATTAAGAAAATGCCTCAAAACAAAAAGGAAGGAATGAAGCAAGGAAGAGACAGACAGAAAGAAAGGAAGGAAGGAAGAAAGAAAGAAAGAAAGAAAGAAAGAAAGAAAGAAAGAAAGAAAGAAAATGTCTCTAGCCTGGAGATCGTGGCATATACCTTTAATCAATGCCATTACTTGGGAAGCAAAGGCAGATGAATTTCTGTGAGTTCAAGGCCATCCTGGTCTACAGAGCTAGTTCTAAGACAGCCTACACAAAGAAACCCTGTCTCAAAAAAAAAAAAAAAAAAATCAAAGAAAATGTCTCCATAACATTGGGTTGTAGGCAGGCCTGTAAGACATTTTCTTAATTAGTAATTGGTTGGGGAGTGCCCAGAACTTTGTT